GCAGCGGGGCGCTTAGCGGCCATTGCCGGGCTGCAGGGGCGCGGGCAGGTGATGGGCGACGGTGGTCTTCAGGAAGGAGGCGTATGAGTGGGTGGTCAGGGTCTGATGAGGAGAGATGTACCTGGTGTATGTGGGCGGTCGGCATTGGTGTTGAAGTCGTGTGCATTGGTCTTTGATGGCGAAGTGAGCCTGTTGCATGAATGCAGATAGGATAGATAGCCTGAGTTGAGTAGGCTGGGCGCTGGGCGCCAGACAGAGACGAGCGACATTGGATACCGCGTTGGTGTGGCCTGGACATTGGCTCACGAGTTCATTGTAGATCGCTCTTATTTCGATGGAATCTTGGTGCATTTGAGCTCTCTGCTTGGTACATGACTATCTGGACTTCTGTGTGATTTTGCAACTTGGTTTTCTGTTTATCGCTCTCCCTCATATTCCTTGCACTAGTGTGAGTATGGCCTACAGACACTTAATTCTTCTCCTTATTCTTTTTTCTTTTTGCCCTCTCGTTTGGGAGATTACTTCTAAGCAGTTGTGCTCTATTTTTAGCTCACACACTCAACTACCCCTCTAATTCGGTCATGGTAACTGCATTTGGTGCAACTTTGAGTCTAGATACAACCATAATGACATACGTTCTATTCGACCGAAGACGATACTGTCTCTTCAGTAGTTGTGTTCTTTTCCTTTTCTTTGTCCCTTTTTTTTTTGAGAAACTCGTTTCCTTTTCAGTAGTGGTGTTCTTTTCCTCTTCTTTGTCCCTTTCTTTGTCTTGAAAAATTGTTTTCCCTTCTTTCATTCCTCCAGTCTCTTTTCTCTCGCTCCTCATTTTCGATTTGGAAGTGTTTTCTTAAAAAAAATAAAAAATAAAGAAGTGTTTTCTTTTGTTTTTTTCTGATGTCAAAATGGATTACCATTGCCTGGTTGGTGGCTAAGGCCACACGCTTCCTAGTACCTTTTTGGAGCGAATGCGGCTGCGATCATGGTCAAATACATCGTCGGAAGTCCTGGTGTGAATCGGCCCTCAATGTGACATGTCAAGAGCTCAAGTCCTATGTGATGCGATAATAATGATACTTAGGGCATTCTCACACTGCGACTTCGCTGAATGTATCCGACCGCAATTAGTGCTCATCTTCGAAGTATATGCCCCCACAATTATGTCCAGAGCTCATTCGAAGTGTAAGTGTGCCCTAAAGCGCCTAAACCTATTTTTGCAACACAAAACAAGCAAGCAGAACGAGGTCTTTTGTTGATTGGTAATGATTGCTAAGGAGGGTACATAGCATGCCCCGCCCCATCCGTGGACCAATCAATAACAGGCGGCTAAAAGCCTCGAGTGGCAGTACAAGAACCAATAGTTTGACAAATGCAAGAATCAGCGGCAAGATGATGAGCAAAGGATCTCAGGGTAGGAGGGAAAGAGATAGGTGGGAGGAAGTGAAGAGAGAGAGAGAGAGAGAGAGAGAGAGAGAGAGAGAGAGAGAGAGAGAGAGAGAGAGAGAGAGAGAGAGAGAGAGAGAGAGTCCCTTGGCGCAATATCGGAAATTCGTAAAAATGGAGTATACAACAACAATTCCCGTGCGGACGTCCCTACGCCACGTTTCGGCCGCTTCCGCTGACGGCCATCATCAGGGGACGGAAAAGCGCCTAAGAGCAGGCATGTTCACCTACAAATAAATATAAAATAGAAAAGGCACTAGGTGAAGACGAGCTTTACTCATCAAAATACAGCCATACTAGCCAAGCTAATAATAAGGTCCTCGTAGTAGAGTAGCCCAATCAACATACATACCTGTTCCGGAGAGCGACACAACATACAGGTCTTCATAGTGGCGACGTTTATTGTATAGCATGCGGTTAGGCGGTAAGGGCAAATTCGCCAGAAGAGCTCAAGAGAAACGTGTTTGGAAGAAGCCAAGAACCAAGACAGAGATACGGGGCATTCCGATGTGAAGAGGAGGATGGATCAGAAAAGACGTCAGAGAAGGGGGAGGAGGSGGGGGGGGGARGGGGGGGGTGAAGCCAGGAAGGGCGGTGTGGTGAAACGTGGTGGTATGGTGGGAAGAAGCGCCGGCGGGTGGGGTTGAAGTAGCAAGAGCGAGGGGACGGTATTGGACAGGTCAGGGAGGATGGAGGGAGGGAGATGATGGAGGGAGGGAGGGGGAGTGAAGGGTAAAAACGCAGGGAGGCAGGGTAGGGGAATGGACGTGACGTGGCGCCGAAGTAAACGGAGGGTGACAAAGGCGCAAGGATAGCGGAGATCATTGCGCCAACTAGCTTCTTCAGGCGTACGGCCTCGCCACACCACTCTCGAAGTGTGAAAAAGACAAAAATGTGGCGGGTGCATCTGGTCATGTTCTAGCGGGAAGTTCATTCTCATTTTGCACATTTCGAGAGTGGTGTGGCGATGCCCGTAGTCCTTACCAGTCAGAAAGATATGGTGATCCAAGATCGTGGTGTCAGACCATGGCGGTATGCAGATTGTAAAGGGTTAAAAAAAAAAAAAAAAAAAAAAAAAATTGTGAAGGGTGTGGGATAGGGCAAGTGGATGAAGCCGAGCGGGGTCACGTGCGAAAAGGTAGGGGCAGGAAGAAGAAGTTGAGAAAGTAGGAGGCAGGGGAAACCAGCGAAAAGGTTACAGCTGACCAGTACTAGAACCCATAACTGTGGTATTGAGAGGAATGGTGTTCTAGAAAACCTGGCAATACGGGAGAGCTTTAGGAAGCCGATTGGTACCTGGCATGGAGTCATTACGAGACCTGTTCTCGAGTCCCACTTTGAATACCTCGACCCAGACGTCCCACCAGCCGCCCTTTTTGAGGTTGAAAACTCAGATAGAGTTCGGCTTGGGAAGGCTTTCGGTCGTAGTTCCCGTCTCAACGCAAGAAGCGCCAGACCCACTCCTCTATGATCTGACGAGCCGGCGTAGATCCTGTTCAGGTGTCCTTTTATCACTCCTTTCTTCTGGTTGGATGGTCCATAAGATCTGTAGTCCTCCTGAGTGGAGATGATTCTTTCTGATAGGCTCGTCACTCCAGATAAAAAAGCCTGAACCTTTGTAACAGCAGAGCAGCGGACTGAGGATGGCGACGAGGAGCAGCAGATGGAACATCCCAAGAAATCCAAGTTACCGTCCCCTACATCAGATGGACATCCCAAGAAATCCAAGTTACCGTTCCCTACATCCAAGTTACCATTCCCTACAAATCCAAGTTAGCGTTCCCTACATCCAAGTTACCATTCCCTACAAATCCAAGTTACCGTTCCCTACATCCAAGTTACCATTCCCTACAAATCCAAGTTACCGTTCCCTACATCCAAGTAACCATTCCCTACAAATCCAAGTTACCGTTCCCTACATCAGTAAGTTACCATTCCCATATCAGTAAGTTACCGTTCCCTACATCAGATGGAAAATCCCAAGAAATCCAAGTTACCGTGCCCTACATCAGTAAGTTACCATTCCCTACATGTTGCATACTAGATCATGCAAAACAGAACAAGGACCGACCTTTCATTTCAGAGTACAAGATGGCGAGTGGAAGACTTATCAATGATCCGACTCAATCAATGTTGCAGTACAGTCCCGACATTTATCATCATCATACAGTGGTGTGAAGGGCTGGCGCTCACACAGAATAGATAGCGCCAGACCCCAACATACACAGACGAAGGGGGAAGGGAAGAGACATAGGGAGAGGAGAAGATGGGAGATATCGTCAACTCCAAGTCTGCGTCACAGGTCCCAAATAATCCTCAACGAATGTCTGTATCCCGGAATCAAGTCTGATG